GTGGTCTAATTTATCCCGCCTAAAATGCTATCTAAATATGCAGAGTAGCAGAGTTAGAAATCCGAAAAATAATAAAGAAATAACAAAAATTTCGCACGTGGCCATCATTAAGTAAACCTCTTCTGATTAATAAGATGTTAATTTTGTCAGTAGTAACATTTTCATTTGTCTTGCCATTCATCAATTTGATCAATTACCAACAGAAAACCATTAAAATGAATTAAGACAGTCGGAAGTTCATATATTGAGGTGCATTTTCATTATTTGGGTTAATGGATAAGATCTTCTATTACAAAAATATGTTATATAATAAGCTCATTTTACTGGAAGGACAATAATTTCAATATTTGAAGTCGATTGAAAAGTAGTCTGAATTTTTTTTAAAGTAAAATAAAGGAGTATACTATCTTATTCTAGTATTTTTCTACTATATTAATATTACGACTACTTGTAATCAACAAATACTTGAACAAAAATTATTCTATTTAGAATCGATTAATTTAATGGAATACGCGTGTTTACGCGTATTCCGTTTGATCAATCACCGACGTAAAACCACCTTGTAAATTTAATTACGGCAGTTGCAAGTTCATATATTACCGTGCGTTTTCATTATTTAAGGCAATCGATAAGATCTTCTATTACAAAAAGACAGTTATATAATAAGCTTATATTATTTCAAAGACAATAATTTTATTATTTGAAGTTGAATAAAAATTAAAGTTTTAATTATTGAGTAATCAAAATTTATAAGTTAAAATTATTAAATGAGTTAATTAAATTAGTCTAATTTAAATTTTTGTTCCATTGGAATAACGTCCATATTTGTCTTTGTGTATTCATCCTGTAGAGTTCTGGAATACGACCCGTAAAGAGAGAGCCAAAAAGAAGAAAAACATACATCAGGGCCGTATTCCAGAACTCTACTCAATGCTCAAGTCAGGACTTGAATATGATTTCAAGCGGAGTTTTTATTCCAGAACATTACTCAAGCGTAGAATCTGTAATCTGAGTTCACCTTAGTAATGTCAGAGGAAGTGACAGCTTGCGTCTTAATTTTAGAACAATGCTTGAGATTCGTTTCAGTTTTACTGTTTCCTAAACGGTACTCAACAATAAAATCTTGTCATGGGTGTTGTCAAAATCTATATTTACTTGAGTGAGGTGCTGGTTGCGCTTGAGTACATAATAATCGGCGAAAAAATTACAAGATTACGATGAAACCATATGAGAATTTTGATCTTTATCAAAATATATCAATGATGAATATCATACTCAATTGCTTCAGATGTTGAAAGACCTACAAGATCCGTACGACATGGAAGATTTCGTAAAAAAAAATAATTTAACCTATCATAGCAGATGAGTGAAATCAAACAACCGTGGTTACCCAATCGCACCTGAGATACAGATTCTGGCTTGCTTACGTTTGTATGTACTGGATCATTAAAGTTAACGATTCTTTTATGGGGAACTGCAGGTATATGATTTTATTACAATATGATTCCGGAGTACATGTTAAGATTATCATTTCCTAAGTATAAAACTTACATTCAGAGTAACTTATAAAATGGCGTTTTCAAGTGTAATATTTTACCCTTAGAATAATAACGCATAGAAACCTAGCCCGCACACGCTAAGTGAGGCAAGTTAGAGGGTTCCAAACGCGTCCCAGGAGCGCGCGGGCTGTTAGTGCTCAAGGTCATATTGCACCGCGAACAGCTCCAAAATTTTTTGCTAAAAATGACGAAATGTGCGGTAAATGGGTGTAAAAATACAACAGACAAACAAAATAGACGCTAACATCGCATTCCACAAGTAAGTAATGCGTTTCAACTCGTATTTTTATGTAAATATTCACTAAAACAGAAAAATAATTTCGCGGCAACAAGATACGAAAGTGTTGCAAAGTAACGAATTTTTTTTCTCCCCATTTTGCTATTCTGTATCAAAATAATTATATTACGTAAATTTTAGTGGTGCCTGTAATTTCGATTTATTTGCGCATTTTGAACTAATATTTACTCGAATAAACATTAAATGTTTTCGTTAACTCCTGTAAGTGATTGGGACACTTAATTATTTTATAATACTTTTAACGGCTCTGCGTTCATGCTTTATTGAATAATTATTTATATTAATTTTATTTCAATTGGAGCACATATTGCAACAAATTTACAGTATATATTTGTTTCTACTATAGTGTTGGCACCACCAGTACAACTTTGATAGCTTATTATATGTCTTTCTTTTCGTAACTCAAGCGAAATATTTTATATTAAAATATTTTATTTTCTTAAAAGGGGAGCATTCTTAAGCGATTTTTTAATCTATTTTAACAGTTATTTTCTTTAATGTTTGCTTATGGCATTTTCGGTTTTAGGTTTCGAATACGGCACTTATTTCTAAATCCAAGATGGCGGGCGCGATTTTTCGAATAATGGCAAGTTGGGTATCGTTTTCGAGATGTTTGGGAATGTTCAATACAAATATGGGACTCATTTCTAAATCCAAGATGGCAAACACGACAGTTCAAATAAAAGCAATATTCGTAATGAGCACCCCCAAATACCTCGAAAACGATACCCAACTTGCCATTATTTGAAAAATCGTGCCCGCCATCTTGGATTTACAAATAGTGCCATATTCGCATTGAGCATCCCCAAATACCTCGAAAATGATACCCACATAGCATTTTTTTGAAAAAATCGTGCCCGCCATCTGGGATTTACAAATGAGTGCCATATTCGTAATGAGCACCCCCAAGTACCTCGAAAATGATACCCATATTGCATTTATTTGAAAACTCGTGTCCGCCATCTTGGATTTAGAAATGAGTGCCATATTCGTAATGAGCATCCCCAAATACCTCGAAAATGATACCCATATTGCATTTATTTCAAAACTCGTGTCCGCCATTTTGGATTTAGAAATGAGTGCCATATTCGTAATGAGCATCCCCAAATACCTCGAAAAGGATACCCATATAGCATATTTTGAAAAATCGTGTCCGCCATCTTGGATTTACAAATAAGTGCTATATTCGTTTTTCATCGACAAAACCGAGCATATCTGTAGGCACCTGATCGACAATGACGGGCAAATCTGTAGGCACCTTTAACTTAATGATGAGTTAAGCAAGATACAATTTCCCCACTTTTGAGGGAAATGTTATTCCATGGCATCATTATTTGTATATTTGTGTGCGTGCCGACGAGCGTAGTTACAAGTTGCTTACGCCTACATGAATTTGGTTTTTGCCTCACTTGTGACAGTTCGTTTGATATGAAACTATCATTCT